TTCTTTTGCAGCTTCAAGAGTCATCTAAAAAGCTCTTGCCTTCGGTTTTGGTGGAATGTTGGGTTTTCCTGCGTCCTTCTTTTTCGGACAGTCTTTCAAAACGTGCCCTTCCTCATTACATCCAAAGCATACCCTCTTGTTGGACGGACACTCATTGGCATAATGCCCAATCTTTCCACATTTGTAGCAAGTTACCTCCTCACTACATTTCCCATAGTGCTTTTTCTTGCACTTTTCACACCATTTCACTTCGCCTCCTCCTCTTCCTCCAAACTTCTTAGACTTTGAAAATTTGCTTTTCTTGTTGGAACCTGAAGTTCCTTCAAACTTTCTCTTTTCGCCAACTTCTGCCCTCTCCAGACCTTTCTCTCTGATCTGGGTCTCAACATTCTTAGCAGCCCAGATGGCGGCTTTCAAAGTGGTTGCTTGCTTGACCATCGGACCAAAGTCCGCTGGTAATCCGTGGGCAAACTTGTTGACCTTGGAGAGTTCAGACAGAACTAGATAAGGAACAAGCTTCATCTTTTCCGTAAAACTAGCAGCGTATTCAGTGACGCTCATATTTCCCTTCTTCAAATTCTGGAACTCATTGTTGATTTCCAGAAGATCCTGCTCAGAGCAGTATTGCATTTTCGGCTGTACCAGAAAATCCTCCCAAGACATCTTACTAGCTTCTCCCTTAGGTATCGAATCAGCTAGTAGCTTCCACCAGCTCAGTACTCCAGATTTTAACAGAGGAATCGCGAGAGCGGTTTTCTGTCTGTTACTGCATTCGCAACTTTCAAACATTGTCTCCATTTCGGAGATCCAATTCATGACTTCAACCGGTGTCGGACTTTCGGATAGACACGGTGGTTTGGATGCCATGAAATCTTTGTATTTGCATCCACGTCCATCACCTCCTCCATCCTGGTTGTTTCGTCTAACTATCGGTGGCTTGGCTTGACCAACAGTCCCACTGTAGTTCCCTCCTTCTGATTGCCCTTCATTCAATTTGGGCTGTTCAACAGGCATCGTAGTTTCTTCCCTATTCTGTTGTAGTAATCTCCTTGTCTCTTCCATTTGGCGATCCAACATCATCTGCATCATTGCTTGTACTCCAGCCATTGTCATTGGCTCAAGTGCAGCTGCTATAACAGGTATTTGCTTAAGTACTGGGGGTTGCGGCTGTTGATTCCTATTTCCGTTTGCGTTTCCAACTCCACTTCGTGTTCTTGCCATTTTTGATCTATACACCGAATAAGGTGAATTTAGATCTTTATTTTCGATAGACGTTTAAATTCTCCTTATCACTCCAAAACGTTTACATGCTAGTTCTAATATCGTAGTCATACGCTTAGAATCCTACACACATAAGGTTTCCAGAACCGGTCGGCAACAGACCATAGATCCGAACAAATAACATCATATATGGCAAACATATAACATTTAGCACATAAAAGTACGTTAGGCATCTTTCCTAAAATATACTAGTGCTCGTGTCTAAAATATGGTAGACACTCATCTCACGATCATCACTTAGCATTCTAAGTTTAAGTCTAGAAATCCTACAAATTCCTAGTTCGCTTAAACTGATGCTCTGATACCAACTGTGACATCCCCAAACTCTCAGCCAGAAAAGACCGGTTTTAATTTATGCTTTTAAAATAATTTCAGAGTAATCCTTTGATTAAAAGAGTTGCGGAATTTGTTCCCAAAACGAAATATGATAAAATAAGATTTACCAAAGCATTTCTTAAAGAAATGTATTTTCATTATATAACAAAACTCGGGATGTCATGTTCCGATACATATCAAAAGCATAAATGGTACATTATAAGCCTTACAACAGTTATATACACTACAGGCCTATAATCAAAATATCTTGATAAGTCGTTCAACTTATGCTCTCGCGCCACTACCTGTAATACAAAGAAAACAGAGTGGGTCAGGCTTGGAAGCCTGGTGAGCATATAGGGTTTTCAACCCATAATATATAAATTTATTAATTTCATCAACAACAATAACCCGATTACCCATTCCCGTTATCCTCACTTTACGTCCCTAAAACAATTATCACAAGGGACCTAGTCTAAGGATTTTCATCGGGCGACAACACTGCTTTGGGGGTTTCCCAGCAATTTATGTCAAATAAGGCAACCATGTGGGGGATGGAGTACAGCAAATGAACACCCAAGCTCATTAACACCTACAGGTTGCGAGCCTGCCAGCGTTCCACAGGACTATCTAGAAAAGTCTGTGGTCGTCATCCATACTCCGCTAGATGACTAGATCACAATAACATCGAGGCCTCTCATTATTTTATTTCATCACACATCAACTATCTACCCATGTTTTACCCAACATATTTGTAGATAAAAATACATATACAGTTTAATTTATTTATAAAATTTCATTCATCATCCATCTCAAATAACTAAACAATATATTTTCACATAGCACGTATTTTATATAAAATACTTCATATCTTTGTGTAAGATGAAAGTGTGTGTAAGATGAAAGTGACTATACACTCACTTGATTTAACGATAATCGGGCAACACTTCGTTTCCTAAAACGATCGTTTTCGATGAAATCGGGAGCTTTTTAATGAAAAACCGGGCCCTGCGAGGGTGGAGCTTCAAAACCGAAAAGATAAATTTTTCCGGATCTTCGGGCACTTCGGGACCTATTTCGGGTGTTGGAAATGATACTGAGGCTTCGGGGGAAGTCGAGATAGTAAAAATATTGAATTTAGGGTGAAAAGTGGCAATTTTCCAAAATTATCTGGGAGGTCTCGCACCCTTCTATTTATAGGGGGAAGGCTTCGGATCCGAGGGCTGAGAAGCGAACACGCGGCTCGCATGCGAGGCTCTAGGTGACTTTCGGAGGTCAACATGGGGAAGGCACGAGGCGGCCTTTGATTGGCCGAGCCTTTGGTGCGAGGAGGGTGCGACACGCGTCTGATTTCTACGGGACCACGCTTCGGATACGTCATCGGATTGGACACGGCGCAGCACCGAAGCGAGGGTGATGTGGCCGGAGTTGAGACATGCGAAATTCCTCGGATTTCGTGTTTTTCTCGATTTTTGAGCCAAAAACTTCTAAAATCCATAACTTTCGAATATGGGCTCCGTTTTTGACGTTCTTTATATGCACGCGTTGGTAAATTTGTGCTCTACAACTTACGTTTAAACTTCGTCGGCTAATTTTGACTTTAATTTTAATATTATTATTTTTAACAGACCGAGACAGGAAAATCCGTTAAAAATTCATAACTTCTTCATCCGACGTCCGTTTTCGTCTGTCTTTTTACCGTTGTACTACTATTGACGAGACCTTCGATTCTCGTTTAGATTGTGTCGGCTAAAAATCACTCGATCTAAAATTCGAGTTTTTAGCTGTCTACTACTAAGCTGAAACTTTGAAAAATCATAACTTCCTCATACGAAGTCAGATTTGGGCGTTTTTTATACATACTCTCGGTTTAACGAATACTACGACTTTTGTTTAGATCACTATGGCTATAAAGTAGTTTATCAAAAACTCACTTTTTACGTCATTCGGCGTCGTGCCGGTTTTGTCGCGGAACTTCGACTGGTCATAACTTCTTCGTTATAACTCGGATTCCTGTATTCTTTATATATCTGGAATCCTTGTCACGGCCACTACAACTTTCTTAATAGATATCGAGTTTATCTAATATTTATTTTCGACGCTTATTTTTATTCTTAATTAATTAAATTCTAATAATTAAACATAAAACACATAATAATCACATAATTCCTATTTATTTCTTCAAAATGAGTTACAAAGGTTGACCTAGACTATTACATCATCATTAATGCCTATCCTGGAAACACGGGCGTTACACATAAGTTTTGGCATGTTCTGAAGTTTCGTCAAGATAATGAGTTTGTTAGTTGCAATAAAAACTATAATCTAGAAAACAGTTAAGTTTTAAAGAACATGGTGGCATATAAACAATTGTTTTTAATATTATAGGTGTCATACTCTCATACTAAAAGAGATTCATGTTTTACAATAATGATAGTTAGTTTAAGCGTGATCAAATACCTACTACATAGTACAAGCTCTACGAAAAAAAATTAAAATAATCCGGGTATACCCGAAACCCAATAAACGTACCCTATACCCAACCTAAAAAAATCGGGTTACCCGAATACCCGAAAAAATTAATCCGATTCCCTATTAACCCGACCCGATTTACCCGATACCCGAAAAAAATCGGGCGGGTAGTTCGTTTATCGGGTATTTTCGACAGGGCTAGTGACATAGAGATAAAGAGTTAATGGGAGAAAATGATTGTGATCGAAGCTTGGTTTTCAAACCCATTTTTATCTGGTTGCCTAGCTAAACTTAGATTTCATACTTATTTTTATTCAAAAGATAAGCAGTCAAATTTTTGGAAAAAGTAGCAAGAATTAGTAGTGTATGTGAGAAGATATTGAAAGTTGATGATGTTGGATCCTTTGTTCAATGAATTGCTTGAAGTGGAAAGAATCACCTTATGTTCTTCTGTTTTTTTTTCTCGTATTCATTAATGCTACTGCGTTAATTTGTTTACTACTTGAATGCTTGTTGATTTCATTTGATGTTCTCCCTTTTCTAGGGTTTTTTGTATTAAATATAATGTTTTTTTTCTAGGTTTGGTGTTTATTTTTGGTGTAATCATGATGTGTTTGGAAGAAGATGAATGGTGGTGGTACTCAGAGGTGGAGAGTGGGTACTTCGACAAAGATGGTGGCAAATGGACAATTATGGTAGCAGTGGTAGGAGGTGGATGGTGGCGGTGGTAGTTGGTTTCATAAGGGCTTCATTGACACATGGAGTCCATGTCAGCAGCACATAGGTTGGTTGTTTTATGTTGTCGTTTCCCCTAAACTTATCTCAAACCCAACTCATATTTTAAATGAAAGAAAAAAAAATCCAAGAAACTTTCATTTGAAGATTCTTCTTACAAAACTAAATTCAAAATATAATTTACTTTAAGAACAAAAACCCTAAACACACAATGTTCTATATAGAAAGCACCAACACCCACGAAAATCAAAACCCAAATTCAAAATATCTCATATTAAAAAAAACATTTTCAACACTTCTAATCCCCCTTATTTCCTTGCATCAAAGGGAGACTCCGAAACATCAATCGATCTTTCATCATCTTCCTTGATGTTATTAATCATACCTGCAACTTGATTAATGTTCAGCCTCGACTCCGGCGATTTGTCAACGCATTTGATTGCAACCTGCAACAAATTCACCATCCTTTCTTCACTTGCTCCTTCCCGAATCAGTGCTCGGTCAAACACCTCCACCGTCCATTCTTCTTTGACCACCGAAACCACCCACGTCGCGAGATTCATCCCGTTGTTTTCCACCATCGGCATCTTTCCGGTTAAAAGCTCAAGAAGAATAACCCCAAATGCATAAATATCGCCTCTGAATCCATCGATTTGATCGAGTTGCAAGGTGTTGTTGTTGGGGATTGGGGAATTATTGAAATTGTTAACTGACATTAGACCATATTCGCTGATGCAAGCTTCCATGTTGTTGTTGAAGAGAATGTTTGAGGATTTTAGGTTTCCATGAGGGATGTTGTCTGGATGAAGCTCGTCATGCATGAATGATAAAGCGTCGGCAATGGTGGATGCAACTCCGAGCCTGCTGCTCCAGTCGAATGTTTGACCCATTGGCATTCCTGCAAATTATTGTTTGTGTTCTATAAGATCAAATACAAGTTATGACAGTGTAGTTTTTGAAAATTTACCTAATTATAGAGTGTTTTTTATATAAAATAAAATTTCATTGCATTAGATAATATCATCTACTCTAATAAATAAAGATCTTTTTGCCACATGTCACATTCATAGTCATTTTAACACTTGTAATTTTATGGTTAATTTAAATTAATTTTTTTTCCACATGTCATTTTATGGTTTTTCTATTTTATTAAATTCCATATATTATTTAAATCTAATAATAAATGCATATCAATTTCATTAATAGACTTTCCTTCTAATTTATTACTAAATTAAAGTTGTATTAATTTCCTTATTTTATCTAAATCATTTTGTTTAAATTTAAAAGAGAAAAAAAAAACACCTTTAATTTTTATAATTCAATATTTTCTCACTTTTCTTATAAATTCAAACTTCTCAAATATTTTGAATTTTATATTTAAATTTTCTTTTAAATAAACTTATGTAATACATTGGTCTCACACCTAGTTTTATAATACAAAGCCTTAAAATGAATATATATCGATATATATATATATATATATATATATATATAGATATTATAGAGAGATATAGGTGTAGGTTCTATGGAAAACAAAAAACCCTAAAAAAAACCCCTGAAAAAGCATAAAAAATGCATAAAAAAATACTTAGAGATTACAAAACCTTTTTTGATTTTTTTTTAAAAAATCGCAGCTTTTTAATAAAATTCGCTGAAAAAAAATAAAAAATCAAATTTTTTTTTTATAAAAAAAAAAATTCAAAATTTTTTCAGCGAATTTCTTTAAAAACCTACGATTTTTTCATAAAAAATGTCAAAAAAAAGTTTTGTGATCTCTATGTATTTTTTTTATGCATTTTTATAATTTTTAGGGTTTTTTAGAGTTTTTTTGTTTTCCAAATAACCTTTCCATATATATATAATGTTGTAATTTGGTATATATGTTTAAAGTATAATGTCTTTATATAATATATATTATTATATATATAGTATAGATATTATAGATATATATATATATATATATTAATTATGAATAAATTGTCAATTTTTTGCATTCCCACGTTGTATATATAATATAATTCTGCTATGCGAAACACCAAAACATATATAAACTTTTGTTTTATAAATAAAAATATAACATAAAATAAAATAAATAGCAACAAACTTTCTTTTATTTGGTTATTATATATTTATTCTTATAACATAATTATATATCTATAAATCACCCATTCATAGGTGTGTCAAAATACAAAACAGTTTTACTATTATAATGTGTCAAAATACAAAACAGGTTTACTATTATAATGGATATATTTTTGAAATAGTGTCCTAGTAAAAAAAATTGGATATATATTATTTTATAATTGTTCGATGTTTTATAGTATGAAGTCTTGATTAGAAGAAAATAAAATGAAAAATTCAATGATGTATAATAATAAGGAAATAAATAAAAGTATGTTGTTATTTTTTGTATTTAGTCATTTAATATATAACATAACCCCACTATATAAAGCACATCAGAACACAAATAAATTATTTTTTTATATAATAAAATGCAAGAAACAACTTATTTTATTGATTTGGTCATTGGCATCCTAATATTATTTATTCCGATTACAACGTCGTATTTCAAAAAAAAATGGTGCAAATACAAGTTACAACGGAATTTTTGCCTACAATGTTGTAACTAATTAAAATTTCCCAAATTTAGATGTCTTAATAAGAAAAAAGTTGAAGTTACGAAGTTATGATAGACAATACACAAATAAATGAAAGTTTATTACTATATAAAGCACCAAAACACAAGAAAAGGGAAGAACATTACCATGAAGGAGCTTAAAGAGACTTCCATTAGGTTGATACTCATAAACCATAAGCTTCTCTTGTCGCGAACAATAAAATGCAACAACCGGCAACACATTCGGATGCTTCACATGATTCAATCTTTTCATTCTTAACTTAAAATCATCCGAAGGTAACAACCAATCTTTAATCCTTTTAACCGCAAGAGTCATTCCTTGTTCTTCACATTTCACCTTATAAACACTCCCATGCTTCCCTCTCCCCAACAACTCCGCGGGTGCCTTCAAAAGTTCTTCAAATTTCAACCCATTAACTTCCGGGCTCGTGAGAACAATCAAAGAAGAAGAAACGGGCCCACTCTCGATCGAATTCCCACCAAAAACCTCGGATTTACTCATTGTAATGCTTTTGAATTCGATAGATTCAAGGGCATTTTCGTCTTTCGATCGATAGTTATCATCATCACCTTCTTCCACCAACTCTTCTTTCTTCTTTTTTCCTTTTTTACATATCTTGAGCATAATCAAGAGCAAAATGGCTAAACCAATGAGAGCATAGCCCGAGTACATCAAGATTTCAGTCGAATTTGACCCGTTCTTTTTTGAGTTATCCGAGGTTTGGGCCGCATGTGGGCTTGTGGGTCCTGGGACTTCACATTCATTTGGTAACGGATCGCCACATAATCCAAGATTCCCAAGGTAGCTAGCGGGGGTAAAACGGTCACCCCCGGGTGGGACCGGGCCCGATAAATTATTATTGGATACATTAAAAGATGCTAGATTTGAGAAATCAAATCCGGGTATGGGCCCAGAGAGTTGATTGTTTTGGGCTAAAATCTCGATTAAGCCCGATATTCGGGGCAAATTCGGTAAATCCCCCGAGAACCCATTATCTGAAATCCCGAGTCTTTTGAGATTGTTCAATTGGGAAAGAGTTTCCGGAAGGTTACCCACAAATTGGTTTCCACTAATGTATAAGTGAGTAAGTTCCTTGCAATTAGCAATCGTGTCGAAATCGTCCCCGTGTAGATTATTGTTTTTGATGCTAATGATAGCGATAGAAAGGGCAAGAGATGTAATATTGCATATAAAACTCGGGTAAAAGTTCCCGAGAGATTGAAACTATCAAAAGCAATTGACTTAACGGACGATATTTCATCATGGCAAATGATTCCCGTCCATTTAGCTTCACAAGGATCGGAAGTGAGATTCCAACCGGAGACCGGAATCGGAATCGAAGAGTTCCCGGAAAGACTTTCGAAAAACCCGACTAACGCATCGATAGCATCGACCTTAACCGATTCCATTCCGTTAAGAAGCAAGAACAACGAAAGAACAAATACCCAATTAGGAATCGGATTCATTTTGGCTAACAACATTAAAAAGGAAGAAAACAAGAATTTTCAAGAACTCGGATATGTGATTTGTGGTGGAAGGTGGACAATATAACACTTAGAGAAAAAACTCACACATTGATCTCAGTTTCTTTGGTGATGAAAACTACAATGGAATAGAATTTGGAATTCATAGTGTTACCATTTGGTAGGAGACAACACTTTAGTACAAAAAGCCGGCACTTGAAAAGGACGGAGAGAAATAGTCTTAAGTGTACAACAATCTTGTGTAGCATTATGCAGTAAAGATGCTATTTTGGTTTAAATAATGAATCATCTATGATGTTGACCTTAACTCATAACAGATTAAATAATTATACCTTGTAATCTATCTTCTTGTACGACATATAAGTATATTATTGTTATCCGTGTCTATTTCTCCAAAGGGTTTCAGATTATAAAAACAAAATGACAAACGGTTTGTAATAAAGTAGTTATAAGATATAGCCATCATTTTACTTATAGAGAAGAATCCCGTAAGCCCCCAACATTATGACTTTGTCTTCATGATGACATGGTCATCATTAACAATACCTAAAATCCAATAGGAATAGGAGCAACGAGAGGTTAGATGTAGTCAGAAAATCCAATAGGAATAAGAGTAAGGCGAGGTTAGATGCAGTTAGGGGCTTTTTGTTTTTTTTTTTTTTTTTTTGAAGATTTGCGCAACCACTTTTGTCTGCGCCGCGCAGACAACACGCAGACATATGCCCTCGCAGAGTGTTTGTTTTTTAGAAGTGCGCAGATCAAAAAACGTCTGCACGAGGTCTTCCTAGCGCAGACATGGACCACTGTCTTCAAAGGTCTTCAGACCCCATTTTAACCTAAACAAAAGAAAAACATGGGCCACCGTGCAGTTTTTTTTTCTTTCTTTTTCCTGTCGCAGAGGCTTGCAGATGTGGTCCGCAGACTGCAGACATTTTGGCTTTATCCATTCCACTGAAGGGTAAAAAGACTGCTTCTATATATACTTCTAGCATATGAAACTCAAACCTAAAAGGGGGAGGAGACAAGAAAACAAATATAAGCAATAAAGCATAAATAAAAAATGGAAAAAAGTAAGCATGTAAATAAAACTAAACATAAATAAATATAGTACGAAAAGCAAAAATATGTATAAAATAAATCAGGACTCATATTATTCAACTACTCTGATTTGATTTTAAGCCCATATACCCTCTTATTTAAAGTCACATATAAGATAAATTCATACTATTCAACTACTTTTGATTTGATTTTAAGCTCATGCACCCTCTTATTTAAAGTCTCATATAAGATAAATTCATACTATTCAACTACTCTTGATTTGATTTAAGCTCATACATCCTCTTATTTAAAGTCATATCTAAGATAGACTCGTACTATTCAACTATTCTGATTTTAAACCGATACACTCTTATTTAAAGTCACATATAAGATAAACTCATACTATTCAACTACTCTGATTTTAAGCTCATACACACTTTTATTTAAAGCCACATATAAGATAAACTCATATTATTCAACTATTCTGATGCTGATACACCCTCTTATTTGAAGCCGCGTAGAAGATAAACTTATACTATTAAAGTACTCTGATTTTAAGTCATACACCCTCTTATTTAAAGTCACATATAAGATAAACTCATACTATTCAACTATTCTGATTTTAAGCCCATACACCCTCTTATTTAAAGCCACGTGTAAGATAAACCCATACTATTCGAACTATGATTTTAAGCTCATACACCCTCTTATTCGATGCCACACAATGATAAACTCATACACATTTACATAAACTGCCACCTGTCAAAATTTCCCTATGACATCATCATTTCTGCTAGAAAAAGAGGTGATATTAGTCCAAAAAAATTACACCAAAGGAAAACAAAATAATTGATATAATAATACAATAAAATTAAAAGGATCAAAGCAAAAACAAAATATAACTGATATAATAATCCAATAAAATGAAAACGAACAAAGTGTGTGTGATAAATTCCAAATTCCCATTTATATTCATCTTTAAATAATCCAGGGTGGCAAGTGAAAGTTACAATTTTTCATTACACATCTACAGCAAAGCTCTGCTTTTTGCTCTAAATTTTACAAGAAACTATGTGACAAAACCCGTATCAAGAGTGGGAGATTTTTAAAGAAAAAAAAAACAAATCTTATCATATTTTAGTTCAGGGGTATTTATGTCTTTATGGGTCTGCATTTCCCGCAACATCTTCTTCACTTGATTCACTTCTTCCATCACTAATATCTTCATTGCTTTCATCTTCATCACTTTCATCTCCAAGTGTGTTGCCATTGATATTCTCCTTTTTTGCATATAGCTCACAATATTCTACACCAACAAACCCAAATTACTTATATACCCTTGTTCTATTAATTAATTTCTTAACTTATAAAAATTTGTCAAATACTCATCAACTTCAAGCACATCCAAACACTATCTCCTTCAAGACCTTTTACTGATTCTTGTTATTCAGTATCACAAATTTACTAAAATGCCCCAAGTAAATGGAAAAATAAAGAAAGATGAGGAACCTTTCACTTTCTTCTCATAGTGCTCCTTGTCCTTTATCATCAATGATGCTGCATCACCATTTAGTGGGTCTGAAGGATTTGGGTATAGCAAAAGTTGGGGGAGAAAAACCTCAAATACATTTAAAAGATCTGTAGATAATAATTAAAAATAATAATAATAAATTAAGTTTTTTGTCATATTGTTAGAGCTTATATACAAAAGATACATTCCACTACTATAAACATAACAATCAAGATTTTTGGAAAAACAAATTATAAATTACCAAACATTGGACTCCAAGATTGGTTGATGACATCCAAGCAGACAGATCCAGACCTGCAATTCACCAAGAATTTCCAGTTGTTAATGGAGATGATAAGGGCATTCATGTCTTTTGCACATACAAGAGATTGAAACTGAGAAAGTGAGAAAGTGAGTTTGTGTCCCATTGACATTAGTCCAATGCATGCCAAACATAGTAAAAATGTCATGTTCAATTATGTGATTTGTAGAAAAAGGGATGATAATTGCAATTTGTTGAAAGATGAAGATGAAAACTAAAATATTCTGAAAAGTAAACTCACAGTTCATCAACATTTGGGTGAAAAATCCTGTTTAAGAAACCAATAGAAGGAGATTTGTATGGATAAGCATCTGGAAGCTCAACACGCACTTTCCAAACACCACCTTCATATAAACCTGAAAGAAAGATGATGTAAATATGTATATATATATATATAATTGAAAAATCACATGATATGAGAGTGAAGAAGAGATGAAGAATCTTACTTTCTTTTGGACCATGGAATTCCACATTGATTTCATTGATCGAATCATTTACTGGCTCCACAGCATAGTCACTCATCATCCTTCAACATGAATACAACATGTAACTAAGTGCAAAATCAATGGCAGATTGTAACCAAATTAGGAGATGAAAGCAAAAGAACATGTAAAACAGAGCATGCTTACAGTTTCATGACATCCATATCTTTCCTTTTGCTTGGAGACGACATTTTATGCACTATCTAACCTGCCATTTTAGCAAAAACTATAAGATACTGCAATAAGATCAAATCAAGAACAAGATCGATGCCAAATTATATATCAGAAGGCCATGGAAAATAAACTGAAATCATTACACTTATGGTCCTTATTCCCAATGTGGGAATTGGGATTATGACTATCTTTGGATGAAGCAACTTTCATGTCAATTTTGTTTAAGTTTCTTGCATTGATGATTCATTGGGGAGTTTTACAACCCCTTTCAATGTGTAGCAAATTCTCAAGTGGAAAAACAATTCGTAAGTTAACTACATTTTAGGGTTTCAAGTTCGGTCTTCTCGTCGTCTACTAAACCTATGAATTGAATATCCTTGAATTTCGCTAAACCTAACAATCATCATTTGAGAAACTAAACCTGCAACCTAAGTAAAAAATCACATACAGAAATACACTAACCAACTTCAAAATCATATAAGCACGATATGAAAGTCATATATGCAAGACACAATCTACCACGCCAAGATGTGATCGTAGAAAATTGGGATCAAATTATCCATCCGATTATGTTACTGATCAATTAAAGGAGATTTTCAGGGCGATAAAGCACCACCAATCGAATCAAAGTTAGAATCAACGATATCAAAAACCCACCGAGTATGTAAAGAGCAGATCGATGATTCTTCGGGTGAAGAAATCTATGTGAAATTGAAGGATAAAAAAGGGGAATCGAAGGAGAATGATGTAGATAAAATGAAAGGGAACAAGGAAAGAGAGAAATATATTTAGCCGAATAATTATAATGAAAGAGAGAAATATATTTAGCCGAATAATTATAATGACTTAGTTAAAATTAACGAATAAATATTTGTTTTTAATCGACAAATATCACAAAATTTATGGAGAATTGATTTTGATATTTTATTATTTTTCATCATAATTAAAACATGCTGTTTATCGATTTGTTTCGATATTTGACTATTTATCTGGTCATCCGGTTGTGAGTTAAGGTGTTGACGTGATAATTTTTGATGGTGTGACAATTGACATAATAACATGATAGGTGGTGTCCGTTGGCATATTAGGTGTAAAAAAAAACTAAAGCGTAATAATTTTTGTGATTATATGTTTTATGAAATTTGCCTTTTGTTCTTTTGCAAAATTCGCTTGACTTTTTTCCATAATTTTCATATGTAAGTTATTACTTTATTTATAATTACTTTTTTTTTAACTTATTAATGTAGTAAAAACTATATGTATTTTATCAAAAATACTTCAATGATATGTACCTTCATGCTTTTCTTAGATAAAAATATGCAAAAGGAGTTAATTATTGATTTTCTCGATTTATCAAAATATACATGAAAGGGCATAACTTAATAAAACAAAGGGGTCAAGAAGATCATACATTTACAACAAGGCCCTATTCTAAAACGGACTCGTCATGTTCCTT